AGAGCCAATGTACAGTGCAGAAACAAACGAATGCAATAAGTGCCACAAACTAATATAAAAACAATAAGTGCAATAAGCTAGTATAAATACAATAGATGCTAAATAAGTGCTAAGCGGAAGGGTAGGCCTTCTTGAAGAGGTGAGTTTTCAGCCTGCGCTGAAAGATGGGCAGCGACTCTGCCGTCCTGACGTCAGTGGGGAGTTCATTCCACCACTGTGGGGCCAGGACAGAAAACAGCCGCGACCGGGGCGATCGGCCGCAGGGACCTCTGAGCGACGGGGCAACCAGTCGCCCCGAGGTAGCAGAGCGAAGTGGTCGGGCCGGGGTGTAGGGCTTGACCATGGCCTGGAGATAGGAAGGAGCTGTTCCTTTCACTGCCCTGTAGGCTAGCAACAGAGTCTTAAACTGGATGCGGGCTCTTACAGGTAGCCAGTGTAGAGAACGGAGAAGGCAAGTTGTGTGGGAGAACTTGGGGCGATTGAACACCAGGCGAGCTGCAGCTTTCTGGACAAACTCCAGAGGTCTGATGGCCGACGCCGGGGCTCCGGCAAGTAGTGAGTTGCAGTCCAGGCGGGAGATGACAAGAGCCTTGTGGAACCCCCGTAGTCAGCATGCGTGGTTCCGACACAGAGCCCCTCCATGACACCTGGTAGGATCGACCTGTCAGGTAGGATGCAAACAGGGAGAGTGCAGAGCCTGAAACGCCCATCCCCTCGAGGGTGGATAGGAGGATCTGGTGGTTAACAGTGTCAAACGCCGCAGACAGGTCCAGGAGAATCAGGACAGAGGAGAGAGAGTTAGATCTCGCTGCGTGAAGCGACTCCGTCACCGCAAGGAGGGCTGTCTCAGTCGAGTGACCCACTTTGAACCCGGACTGGTGAGGGTCCAAGAGGTTGTTTTGGTGGAGATAGGAGGATAGTTGAGTAAAGACAGCACATTCAAGTGTTTTGGAAAGAAAGGGTAGAAGAGACACCGGTCTGAAGTTCTTGACATCAGAGGGGTCAAGTGATGGTTTCTTCAGAAGGGGGGTGACTCTAGCAGTCTTGAAAGCCGTGGGAAAGCATCCTGAAACAAGAGATGTCTTCATGAGGTGGGTGAGAAAAGGAAGGAGTTCAGTCACAATAGACTGAAGAAGAGGGGAGGGGATCGGGTCAAGGGAGCATGTGGTGGGGCGGTTAGATGTAACAAGGTTGAGGACCTCGTTAGGGGAGAGGGGAGCAAGATAGGGTAAGATGGGGCATGGAGAGGGGAGGGAGAGCTGTGGGGGAAGAGCTGGAGATGGTAGAGAGGGAGAGGGTGGACAGGGAGAGAGTGGACAGGGGGGCTGAGAGAAGGAGGATCTGATATTGTTTACCTTCTTGTCAAAGAAGTTGGCGAAATCGTCATGGAGAAGGGAGGAAGTAGGAGGAGGGGGTGGGGGTTGGAGGAGTGAAGAGAAAGTTTCGAAGAGTTTTTTAGGATTGGAAGCAGAGGTTAGGATTTTGGAGCGAAAGAAAGCAGCTTTAGCAGTAGAGTGGTGGAAAAAGTGGAAAGAAGAGCTTGGAAGTTAAGAAGGTCCCCCGGGAGTTTGCCTTTTCTCCATTTACGCTCAGCCTCTCTTAGGCTCCGTCTGTCATTACGCACTGAGTCCGACAGCCATGGGGCAGGTGGGGTTGGCCGTGCAGGCCTGAAGGTGGAGGGACAGAGGTTGTCCAAAGAAGAGGAAAGGGTGGAGAGGAGAAGATCAGTAGCAATATCAGGGGATAGGAGAGAGAAGGCTTCAGGGTCAGGGAGAGCAGAGGTAACAGAAGATGAAAGATCAGCCGGGGAGAGGGAGCGGAGATGACTACGGGTAGAAACCATGTGGGTAGATTATTAAAGATAAATTTAAAGATAAAGTATGTGTATTATGAACTTATACAGAAACAAATGTACCAATGTTCCATTGTGCGGTTGTATAAATAAGAAAAGAAAAATAATTTTGTCGAACAGACTGCAATGATGGCAACATTCACAAAATTGTTTCCAATCCAATGTAGCATTGGACACTTCCAGCCTGTTAATTGCATCAAGCCACGCCTTCAAAATATCTTAATTTGGGGCCTTTTCCAAACAAGTATTGACATATGTGATTGTTTGCGATTAAATCAGCATATATATTTCTGCCATAAAAGTCTCCATTCCATCCTCTTGCCACCCCTTGAATAGCTTCGCTTTACGTAGGTTTGTTGTTGAATAGCACTGGGTACTGGCTAACGGCACTTTTTCCAGCTATAACGGAACAAAACATGTGATTGGTCGACCCTTCACTGCGTCAGCGGAGCACTGAAAAAAAGCTGAGACCAGCTAAACCTTGATCAAGTGCTTCTTACATACACTCTATTGTTACAACATCAATGTGAATAAGTAATTAGTCGCCTTAACTTTCTGGCTGTTATTCAGACATAGACCTCTCTGGCTGCAGGTCATCCATCGGTCACACACACACACACGACCACACATCGCTCCTGATGTGCTGTTACCCTCCGACCCCGGCCTCATCTTTTATGAGCACTTATGTATTAGTATGATATAATTCTGTGTTGGATAAGTAGGGGTATATAGTGCAAGTTGTCTTTATAATTGCTTCTTTAAGCATTCTGGGATCAGAGCCACGCACTTTATCACGATGAGAGTGCACTGACTGGAAGGATCAAAATTGGCATTGCACCCATTAAGTACTTTTGTTTTTATCATGACCTCCAGTAAAGCTGCTTTACATTTCTAATCAATAAAGACCTACACGACTGAATGAGTTTGGATGTTTAGTATAATAGAACATTCTATGCACTTTATTGAAGTACATCTTTCCTTTTTTTTGGCATCTATGAATATATGAGTTTGGGTTCTATATCGCTAACATTAATTCAACCGTCGGGCAATTGAGCACACAATGACATGTGAGAGAGGATCCATTTCACGCTGATAATCAGTGCAAATGTACTCATGCATGTTAATGCTCAAAATAAATGCTGTCATTTGGTTGCTCTGAGAACTGTGAGGGCAGGTGTAGATGAATTAGCTAATTAAATGGCAGGTGCTTTAGCTAGCAGAAGATTTATATTAAGTAGAACTTCACAAAGCTAGTTGATAGTGATTCCTGCCATGTCTAAATCAAAGAGTTGGTGTGTAAGTTAACACCTTCAACTCTCTGAAGCAGGTGTCTCACCATATGCCCCATTAATTACACAAAAATCTTTAATGACTTAACACCACTCGCTACTGAGCTGTATGGCAATATGCCCTCTATCCCTCTTCTCTGGCCTTGATGTTATTTATAGCACACATTACAGCATAAATAGCCGAGGAGAGACGAGAGTGTTTGGTAGACAGTAAAGCAGGGAAGTGAATTTTCATGTTCAGGGAGGCCCAGGGAGGGTATGAGATAGAGCAAATCCAATTGTTTTAAAATTATTCCCATGTAGAACAGAATCAGAGGCAGGCCAAGAAAAACCAAATAGTCAGATTGGATTATTTTCTCCATCGCTAAGTAGTGTACGAGTAGCCAGGACATTAAAATCACTTCAATTCAAGGGCCGGATATTAGGCATGAGGCCTGATTACTGACCGTGCAATCATTGCCAGACTCCCTCGGAGAGCAAACATGTCGTCTGTTCACTCTGGAGGCAGTCCGAGTCGAGCAGGTACATGCCGTGTACAAGAGCTTCTGCTGTTCCCTGCGAGGAGGACTTTCAGCACCACGGACAGCGCCGCTGCAGGGAAGTAGCTGAACCAGAATGGAAACATGAGTCCTGCACACACAAAACAATCATGTCTTACTTATTCTAAAAGCCTGGGCGGCCACTTTTACGTTAGGACGGTGGGTGGCAGGAAAGGAAATGCTGAAGTGCCCACAAGCAAATGACTTGAAGGCATGGATAGCCTACATAAACTCTCTGTTGTATGCTAGTTTTTGGCAGCATAGCAAGCTTGATAAGTGTTCAACTTCTGCTTTATGGAGGTGAAAAAAAACGAGTGGGAAATAAAAATACTGTATATATAAGAAAAAAATATTGGTCGCTTATCTACTTCCTCTCAACATATCATACTACATTCCATCCTGAATGAATATCCATGTAAACATAACTTCTATTTAATCAGATATTGAAAAACACAATAAAGGATCCCTTCAATAGATGACTTACTGTATCATCTTTGTATTAAAGTTCTACAACAGCAGAATCTCCCCTCAGACTCTTTAAAGTGTCAGGCGGCCCAGGCATTGACTTCAGCTCAAAGGCACAGCTCAGACCCAATGCAATGCTAGAGAGACGACGAACATCATTTTTCCATTAAACATTTGATAGAAAAACAATATGAATTACAAACATGGTGTTTGAACGATGTGGGCAATTACAAGCCAGAGAGGATCTAACAGAAAGATGCTATTGATTGCACTGCGGGAATTGTGAGATCCATAGGACTAAATGTCAATATCTCGACCTCCAATACTTTGATTCTGGACATTCTGTTTTAATCTGTTGTGAGTCCGCAAACTATATGGCTATGTAACACTAAATCACTGGCGTACCCATTTCAAACTGGAATTGGATGCGTTTAACTGAGATTTTACATTCATTTGAAAACTAAATTAGCATTTAAACAATGCAACATCAAAAGTCTCCACCACATGAGCCTGTTAGTGCGTTTCTGTGGAATTTAAATACATCTCCGACCGATTCTGCAATATATATGTAATCAGACTGCAACATATCATGTGACACGAGTGTAAATGTATGTAAGCGTGTCTTATCTTGTGTAACTGCAGCACAGCAAAGTGATAGCCCATAAAACGACATTAGGCCATGCTAATAGTCAGTGAGTCTTTTGTGTTAATGTGGGGTCGCCTGCTGTTTTATGAACTGTGAGCTTGTCCAGACACATCGGATCATTTTCTGTCTGGAGGCTGGATGAACCACAGCTGACTCCGAGCTCCGGAGGCCGACTGGGGGGGGGGGGGCCGTGGGTGGTGATGCTTGGCCCTCTGCCCAGAGCCAGAACATGGAGTCTCTGTGGGCTCAAGGCACAGAGACCTGGCTGACCCCAAGGAACATGGAGTACTATCAAAGTCTACGGTGCCAAAAGGATCAAATACTGACTTTCATCTTAATTTAGGAAGGCAAAGTGCAAATCGAATGTGAGAGGCACTTGATGGCGCGAGAGACGTGGACGTAAGATGCTGCTGAGGTCACAGAGGGGTCTGGAGTTTGAAGGAAATGGCAGCTTGTCCACAGGCGGGAGGAAAAGCTGAACACAAATGGAGAAGAACAGCTGATGACAACACAGTCAGCAATGCTAAAATAATTCACATTAGACTACAGCCTGTAAAATCCACAAGGCATGCTTTACTTTGTCCTGTAGCGTGCAGATTTCATCACCGGTTCAATGATGTGAACTTCGTTCTGACTAGTCCTGAAAACTGTCACGCAATACTCAAAACATTTATAAAATTCATGAAATAAAAACAGACTTAAAACCTGAGAGCTAACCAAAAGTCCTTCAACATGCCCCGAGAAACACTTAAATTTAACGCAAACTTACTTGCAGTCATTGTCACGAGGTCTGCTTTTGTTTCCACTGTTGTCCGTCCGCTTTGGGGACAAGTTTCATGTGAATGAATTTGGCCGCTGCTCAGCAGGTGATACTAAATGCAAGTTTCGGGTAATGTTTCGTAGGTTGCTGGCAGTGCTGCTGATTGTGATTGGTCAAGCAGATGTATCACATCAAGATCAACTAACCCACAACGAACAGTAACAATCATTTTTACTTACAATGTATTTTTACTGGGATAACCAATACGTTAACAAAGTGCCACTTCTTCCATTGCTGTTTATCCCACAAGTCCTTATTTCATTTGTCGACTTAACAGCGCAGAAAAAATACATATAGATTCTGTTTTTTTGTCTTTTTAATGGCATGTATCCAAAATAACCCATTGTGTAAAATACATAGGACAGGGGAGACAACAGTAGTACCAGGGTTCTATAGGACGCTCTAGGTCGGGGCTGTTATGTTCCTGCTGTAAAAAGGCTATCAACCAAGCCATTAAATCTTTAGTGTGACATTTCTGCACCTCATTTACAGATTATTCCATGTTGAACAAGAATAATATTTGGAATTCTAGACTAAGGCAGCACTAATCAGTTTTTTTTCAATAATTTCTTTTGGGGGGGAAAACGTGGGGGCGGAATTCAACTTTGCTTCTGGAAAACTAAGTTGATGAAAGCATTGAAATTGAACCAAAACAGCAGAGTTTGGGGCCGTAAAAGCAAACCAATGAACCTGAAGATGCTGAAACACTCCATAAAGCAAGGGAGACCTGCTCAGTTAGGTCATAATTATCTGTGGCACACAATCATTTGAGTCATTGTTTGTCTAACTAAAGTGATTAGTACAGCTTTGTATTGTTTGTAAAATGTAATGTGTACAACACAGCAATCAGACCAGCGAACAGGCATGTTGACAGGTGACTGTTATTGACAGATGAACCTCCTGCCGGACTGCATCTGCAATAAAGATGGAAAATCACCAGGGGGCCGAATTTCTTGCATTAAGGAGTCCTTGCTGACTGAAATTGGGAATCATGTAAAGTGCGAGCTTTCCATTCTGGGTTGGATTTTATGGAAAAGGTTCTGAACTGCCTCCACTCTGCTGTAAGAAATTACCTGAGCTCTGACCCCTCGCTTGATAAGGTGGGCACACAGGCGAGGGCCCAATTTATCTCCCAGGGACCTCATGAATATTTACAATTTTTCTAATGCGGTGCACTTAGGTCAATAGGACCGCACTTTTTAATCAACATTGAAGCTATAGGTTAATACCAGAAATTTATTTCTTTGTCGAGCAGCATAATCTGATTAGAATATGATGAACGTTACGGCCATAGTTGATCACAACGAATCTGAATTTCTGACACATGATGCTTTTAAATGCATCGTGTACATGTGAAAGGACGAGGCCAAGGCGGGAGGCAGCTCTGTAGTTTCTCTGATGAACATCTCAGCCTCACTAAGTGGCTGCTCGCTCTCCAATAGGTCTGAATCTGTGAAGTCAATGAAAGATAAAAAAAAAAATAAAGAGTAGAGCTCTTGGCTTTGAACACAGCGCTTTTCCATTGTGTTGCTTTACCTAATTATGCCAGGCCATTCTGCTGACAGACGGAAAGTGCACCGTGACGCCCAACCAGGACTCCATATTTCATTTCCCTTCTCTCCTTTATAACCGTTAGTATATTAAACCAGAAATCCGGTGGCTGATTTTCAAAGAGACTTGATTAAACCCACGAAATGGGACATGATTCCTCATTTAAAATTCATAACAGGCTAACACTTAAGTAATTTGAATCCCCCTCTGCCATTAGAGCAGTTGGTATCTGCAGCAGATTGAATAATTTCACCTTAACAGCATCGATCCATTTCATTTTCAATTTGAAAGCAAGCAAACTCAGTGGTAGCACCGTTGTGTTCCGAGTGACTTTTCTCTCAAATGTATGCCAATAGAAACACTGGCCTCCAGAACGAACCGCTGCTTGTAATTAAATTAATTTGACCTTCCAGTTTTCTCCAATTGAAAAAGGGCTGTAAATGAGTAATGAAGATGCTTTTGTGCATATTAATTCCCCATTAGTGTATAAACCTCTTTTTCACTAACCCTTTCTTGGCAGATGTAGTGTTTCCCGATGAAAAGGGGACATTGTGCTGTAGCTCACGGTGACTAAACCTGCTTGGCATCAGCATTTTTTAAATTCATTTTTTATTTGGAGACGGGATCAAATCCTTCGTCAGGTGCTTAAATTTGACCACACGCTGCTCCACCATGCCTAGAAAAATAAAAATGATGGAATAGTTGGATGACGAGGAGAAGCTAGACCTCGAATTGATTAATACGGTTGCTGCTGTTGTAACAGATATGAGGTACTTGTCTCCGCAAACCATCTCTGTGCAAGCTTTTCTGCAGGAGCATAAATTAGGCTTTCAGTCCACCGCGGATCAGAACACAGTTGGGGGTTCCTGTAGTGATGCTGTGCTGCCAGACAGCAATAAATAAGGTGATATGTGCACAGGGGATCGTCACAGCACCAGTAAATATACAATCACCAGCGCACTAACTGCTGTAAATCTGGTAATGCTGAGCGATCAACTTCTGCACACAGCAGTAGTTTTAGTCGACTAGTCAAATAGTTTGTGAAACCGCTCTGACAGCAAAGTTATTTTAGCGACAAATCCATACGCTCAACATTATTTTAGATTTGCAGTAATCATTACTGTGTTTGACCTCTGCAGCCTTTTTATTAATAATTCTCTTAACAGCAAATCATCAAAGACACACCTCCTCCCTGAGGCTTTTAAGATCATACTTACTGACCTCAGGCCTGGAATTAGTCAAAGCAGCACGTGCACATATCATCTTCCTCTTCTTCTACAATGTATCCCTTCCTGCTTGATTCTTGATTCAAAAACAAACATGGCACCTTTTGGTAATACATGTGAAAAAAACAAAGAGAACTCTCATGCACCATCGAATATTTCCGATCATGACCAAAACATTAATTCCTTCAATGCAGCAAACATGATGAAATGTTGGTGTCAAGCAGCGAGGAATCCTCTCATCTGGATCAGACCTCTCACTTAATATTGGTGGCTGTTATCAAAAAGGAATATGTTAAGACTGTCAGTGTTACCTTTGATCCAAGCCTCTCATTTAACAAGCCACAGAAAGCAATATCCCTTAGAGCATATTTTTTATCCCAGAAATATTCCCTTTCTACCTTTTCTGATCTTGTAAGACTTACACATGTTACTGCAGTGAACTACACTGTGGTGGTCTCGTCTCCAGGCACATAAAAACACAGCTATTTAAATCTCTGCAGGCAGAATACGCACGCAAGCTAGAAAATACAAACGCAGTCGATTTCACATCATCATCCACATTGTGTTACTGCCCCCCGTCATAAAATCTTTAAGAGGGCACTGGCCCACAATATGTTTTTGGTTTATTATTCTACAAATGTAGTCTAATGACTACAGGGATTGTTGTTGCCCAGTGTCCACAGCAAAGAGCTGGGAATGAAAGTAAAGACTTTTAAGCCGGGGGGGAGGGAATCTATTTATTTGGCACAGCCTTCCAGCTACCTTACCTCCCACCGTACCAGTAGTTGCTCTCCCCTTTCCTCTCCTGACTTGAGTTAATTTACAGTTTCAATTTACGCATTTAGCTGACACTCCTATCCAAAGTAATTAACAGTGAGGGAGCATGTGAAGTTCACAAATTGTTCAAGGACACTTAGACCACGTCACTGACAACGGACATAATTTGTAACTGTTGCCGTTAATGAACCACTGACCCAGTTATAGAACAATCTCCCGCCTGAAGACCACCATAACATTATCTTTGGCATTCATCCTCAGCTGTACAGTGAATTAGCAGCAGTGAGCACTGATGGCTTTAGTGGCTCACATAAGGAGGACACGTATTGTGCATTTAAGATCCATAAATACACAAGGTTTTGTAGGATTCCTGACGCTGCCTGCAGCCTCTGCAGGGATTATTTTTCCTCTGGTGTAAACCCGTGACGATTGCATACAACGACCAACCCACACAGCAGTTAGGGCACTTTTCCACCAACGAAAAGAGCAATTCCTCCCCTTAACGCCGCTGCATTGGGAAGGCGTTGCTGCAGCAGAGGACTCTGGTGGGAAAAAGCACAGCATGGTACCACGGCTCAAAAACAAAGCAGCGAAAATGCTGCATCATCAGGCACAAGCTGTTCGAGCTAATCAAATGCCTGTGAGTGTGCATACCAGGTAGTATTTTTGCAAATTGGCTGCTTAGTTTACCAGCATCTAGGCGTAGGAAAAACTTGTGTTGAAGCATCAGGCCTCAAAGAATGAACATGAAAGACACAAAGACATTTCCTTTGTGCTGGACAGTCCGGGCTGAGGGAAGGTCCTGCAGAGACGGGTAACGAGGTAATTGAATTTCAATCTGTTAAGAGCTCCTTCTCGCTCTGCTTATCTGACCCAGGTCCCCCTCCCCGAGATAAAACCATACAGCTGCTTTAACTTGACTTCTCTTGCTTTGTTCTTCCTGTTTCATTGTTAAAAAATCCACACAAGACTTTTAAATTCCCATTCGTTTGACAGTTTTCAAACCAGTTGTGACATCACTGATTAGGGCGTGGTTTTTTCCTTTTATTTTTAACCCCTTTGCTTTAATCCATATGTGTTCTCAGTTTAATGGTCTGCAGCGTGAGGTGAAATGCAACAAGACACACAGTCTCTCTCCTCTCAGCTGTTCCGAGTGCCGATCCAGGCCAGCGGTGTACGTGAGGAGGAGGGCTGGTTGCTAGGATGCATATTCCTCCAGTTACAAAGCTCTTTGATACCTGCGTCGCTCTATCCTCTCATAGACATGCACCCACTCGCATGGCTCAGGTAAGCCACTTAGACACACACACAAAGACCATACAAACACACACCATGCAGGTAGGCCTGTTCTTTTCTCCACAACAACAGCTACTCTCCAGCATAGTATCAAGGCAGACTCTCCGCTGGGCATCTAGACGGGAGCCGTCTAACCGCACTAACAAGGTGAGCAGACAGCGTGAGCTGTTGTGGCGGATGTCTGCGCTCCCTCAGGAGGAACCGACAACAACCAGACTGGCACCGCTAATAAGGCCTCGGTGCTGCTCGGCCCCACGCTGGGAGAACAACCGTGCAGCTCACACGGAAAGCTGCTGCTCAGACCAGGATGCGGGTATTTAAACTGCACACACAACCCACATGCCTCATCAGCTTACACTGCTGCTGTCAGTGTTATCTTTTCTCCTGTCCGCACCAGCTGTTAAGTGATGCTTCCGTTGCACGCCCAACATTGGAAGAAATCAGGGGCCGAATCCACGGGCCCTACTAAAGTTCACCTGAGGATTTTAGCATACTCTGAATCACTGGCCGCATCTCCGATTTGTTCAGTGATTTAACCAGACAGTTGGAGAAACAGGCAGAGTTAAGATCGTGGACATTGTCACAGATCCATGAAAAATAGCAACATAAAAATGGCCATCCCATCATCTGACCTTAGAAAAGAATCTATAATGCCTAAAGAGGCTGTTGTGCCCTTTTACATCATTTGGCAACCAGTTCTCGGCCAGGTAGAAAGACGGATTGCCTCAGACATTTCATTTGTATATATCATTTATCTTTGAGCATAAGAACCAGAACAGGTTGTACAGGTGAAAAATTACTAAGCGAATAAAGCTTTAATGTGTAAGCTGTTAACATATTAACATATAATAGAGGAGACAACGAGGCTTGTGCTTCAGAGAAGGTAAAGATGAAGTGCATCCGGCTTGGTTGCCATCTTCCTTTTTATTAGCCTTTGCTGCTGTGCTGAGGCTTATTTTGCAGCCTGCATTCTAATGAGACGGAGAGCGAGGAGGGAGGGGGCGCATTGTGTAACTCTGTGTTACATAACACAATGTGCATGGCCTTCTCTCTCTCTCTCTCTCTCTCTGTATCTCAGACAGAGCGAGCAGGAAGGAGAAGACGGAGGGCTTTTAGGGGTGCTGGTGTTAATGAGGGCGATCTGAAGAGGTGTGCGCCTTGTATCTCATTAAGGCACCGTTTCTAATAACGCCGCTGATGAGGAGAAGTTGTTTGGGAGGCAGGGGGACTCGGAGAGCGGACCCCTGGCTTTTCTTAGATTAAAACTCAACCATCAAGTGGCATTCAAGTGGGTTTGCTGGGTAATTAAAGTCGATAAAATGTTATTGCTTTCACCCTCGGCCCACCTGGTTGGTTGGGGATGAACCGGCAGACATTTGCTGGACATTTAGAAAGAGGACAGATCACAGTTAGGATTCAGCCTCCACGCTTATATTGATGCTTTTCTGTTGCTTTGCTGATTACAAAACATAAAACCCTGTTTTTCTTCAGTTACTTCAGCAGATTTTTGTGTCTTTGTTGCACCCTCATTTTCGCTTATGTACATAAAAGTCTAGTGAATGTAGTTTCTTCTTTGCTTCGGTGGATAGTTGAGCAAACAGAAGGTGTGTGTTCAAAGCTTTTTGGAGAAAGCAGCTTTGCCTTCTTGTTTTGCATACAATGCCTCTGATTTTTGAGACTTGTGACCTTCTGTAATTGAAGCTCATTGAGCCAATGCAAACATACTCATTCATTCATTCATTCATTCATTCATTCATACAGTACAGAACACTCCACCTTGTACCCAGGACTGAAAACATGTGATTTAAAAAAACGTTTATTCTCATCTTAAATCTGGTAATACAAAATTACACTAAGTAGAAACTTTACAGCTCATTTGATTTTTCCGAAAATAGACTCAAAACACAGATCAGGCAACATTTCCGGGGAGCAGTTTGTACAAACATCACCAGTTCATGAGTAGTTGACTTTCACACAGAACGTCTCCTCCGTCTTCTCCTCCAGGTTGTTCACGTAGACCAGTATCTCCACCGAGCCGGGACTCTGGCTGGGGGCGAATCGTAGTCCGATGCTGTAACTCTCTCCCCCGCTGATCTGAACACAGTGAACGCAACACAACAAGCAAGCTTCACATTCATCTGAATGCTTTGTGAGGGCAAGTGATTCTTCAGCTGGTAACACTTAACTGATCCGCACGAATGTCGGAGAATCTTCCGACTTCATTTGATTTTGCTGTTTGTTTGTTTTTAACTTCAATTTTGTTTAAATTGATAAAATAGCTAATTCCTTGAATGATTATATCAGAGGTAGGGGAGAAGAAAACAAATAAAAAGAAAGGAGCTTGTTGTTTTTCATATTGTAAATAACAGTCACAGTTATATGACCATGTTGTCTCTCAACACCATTACACTATACAGGTTCCACAGTGCTGCCTATAAAATACACAACAGAGTGGTTTCTACAGATCTCTTTCCAGGTCAGATCACAGAAAGAAATCCCAGTAGTAAGAGTGAGCTTCAAAACATAAGAATGTGTGGTCCCTTAGAGATGAAGAGAAAGCCACAAGCTGAACAATATTTGCCCTAAAATATATAAAAGAAACTGGCCAGAGAAAAACTTGTTTACTCTTCAACAGGTATTCGCTAGCTGCTGGCCAGAGAGCTCCACAAAACAAGAGTCCTCATGAAACATATTCAAAATGATCTTAGAAGACTTTTTTTTGTTTTTTTTTAAACAGGAAAACATCTAATTTAAGAATTACAAGTTGTTCCTTCCTGTTTAATCTGTGGTCCAATTTCAATGTCTGGTCAGCCATGTCCTCTGTCCACTCAAAACTCTTCTACCATTGTTTGCCTCTCAAACAGTATTTAGCTTTCTGAAGCAACAACTCAACAGATTTTAAACTCAATGGCAAAAAAATGACCAACTGCAGCTAAGGCAGCCTGCCTCCACTGCTGTTGGGGATAGCACGGTATGACTTTGCAAAGATATTAAAAGACTGAAGTGCTAAAGTGGCACTGTGTTATTTTATTGCGATGTAATAAATATCCTGTACATGGTGCTAAAGCTTATCCACAGCGTTACGGTGTATCCTCACTGTGGGTTTACACTGGTGGAGTAAATGAGGGTTGTGTGAAACCAGTGAATTATTTCAGGAGGAAACCTCAAATGGATTTATCTAAAACTTTGTTTTGTGTCTGAATTACCGTCTCTTCATCCAAATGTGCAACTTTGATTATTCTTTCCCTAAATAAAGGCACACCATGCCTTATGTTTGGAATGTATTTGTAATCAAGGCTCAAAGGCTCAGTATTTCAATCAGTCCAGAACTGTCTTCTAGTATTTTTCTGTAATAGCCAGCAATGGATGTATGGATCAATTTGGGGGATTTATGACGTAATCTTTCCCAAAAGCATCGCAGTATTGATCTGTGCTCTGCTTTCCCTCCTGACAGCTGGTTTTATCACGGCGAGGTAGATCACAAAAGAGAAAAGTGTCTCCACATTTGCTTAATGCTGCGGGCATAGTCAGTTCTTTATAAGACACCTGGCTCCTCGCTGACTAGACGGAACAAAACAATGGGCTGTTTTTCACTTTCCCCACCTTCTTCTGTCTAATTGATGCAGTGTCTTCTGGACAGCAGCAGCGAGACTCTTAAATACTTGATGTGGAAACAGACTCCCTTTGGGTCTCGTTCATTTATTTGTTAATATAAAATGCTGGTTTTCCATTGCTTTGCCGTTTCATCGCACCTCAGCCAATGGAAGGCAACGATGGCAGTGACTCCGGTACTTCATGTCTGTGTGTGAGTGAATGAGCTATTAGAGACAACATGATGATGATAAGAAATACACAAACGTTCCTTCATATATGTTACAGTATTTTTTTTTTTTTTTACAATCAGCATGTCGATCAAAGCGTTTCCCGGTGTCAGTCTGTAAGGCAGTATATCAATGCGACTCAAAGTCAGTGATGTTGCAGCACAGCCAATTAATCATTTTAGCTGTGAGTGCACCTAAACCGATTTGTGAGGCTGATACCAGGAGGAAGAGTCAGTGCATTACATTGGTGAAATAATTAAATATAAAAATGTCTCCCCCATGTCCACTGTATTGTGTTCTGGCTGCACTACAGCTCCACCATAACTCTGTTGCAGTTCAAATGTCCACGAAACGAGACCTAGAAAGGTGTTTTTCAAGTCCATTTTCTTCCGTTTTACAATTGTAACTACAGGGATCGTGTGTTGGGGCTGCCAAAACACAGTTGACCCACACTCAATACTGTGCCTGAACACATCATGTGTAGACAGAGGACTCAAAGCTTTTTACTGCTGCTCACGCTATACAGGCTGTGTAGACATTGTACAAGAGTCTTTAAGCAGCCTCTTCTTCTGGAGTTACTTTTGTGTCTTTATTATGCAATCAAGCAGAATAAGGTTTGAGAGCAAAACTTTCCACACTGCTATCAAAAAAAAAATGTCATTCCAAGTAAAATAGATTTGTGATTAAAAATGTATCAACACATTTTGTTTGCAAAAGATGTTTCGAGTTGTTTTGCTGATCTCACTCTTTTGTTGAAACAAAGTGCATCATTTAAAATTAAGCTGGAGCCTGGAGCCTGGAGCCTGGTCAGGGAGGGTTTTACTGTGTAACATACGAGACACTTACAAACTGAAAAGTCTGTGGTGTCACTGTGAAGAGAGGAGCAGAGAAATGGAAACTATATAACAGAAGCAACCTAATCATAGTCGCAAAAAACCCTGGGAAGTGTCAAAAAATGATTTTCAGTCAGTGAAAAGCCGAGTCACTGATAACAAATACAGCTTGTTCTGTTGCATGATTGGAATATATAACGTGACATACTCCTAACAGTATAACAAATTGAGTACTAATGAAGAATCCATACTTATTATCACGAACGGATTTGAATTGTAAAGCCTGTAGCACAATTTATTAATTTACAAGGTTTCCAATATTATCACCACTGGTATGAGCTTTAGTGACATCAGTGACTGACTAGTGACGATGGTAAAGGAAGCCTCAATTTCAAACTTAAATCAGAATGGATGGAGTAGTTCCTATTTTGAGTAGAAAAAGAACCTTGCTGACTTCAACAGCAGCTATCACCTCTGCAGTGTTTAAATGTCTTTAATCAAATTAGGTTTTCGTTGTTATTTCTATTATTTAATTCTCAACAGGATATTTAAATAAGCTGATCAAAAGGGGTTCCTATCATTGGTGAGTAGGATTCTCCATTACAGCTCAAACTAATTATTTACAGGGCATTAACAACACAAGGTACCATGTATAACTACTTGTACTGATGCGAGCCTTGCTCTCCCTCAACAATAAAGACAAAGGTCTAGGTGTTAATTGAAGAAAGTATTGATGTAGCTCTTTTTGAGAGGAAGAAGACTGCATCACTTATTGCACCTGGAATTTCTCCTCTTTGAACTGGAGCAGGTCTGGATGGTCAGACCGGAGCAGAAAGGAGCGGCTGCTGGTGTATGGGTTGGTGTAAGTGATTTTCCTGGAGCTTCCACGGCCACCACCGACTGGGACACACACTTCAAATGCCTGCACGCGCACACACACACACAAACACAGACAATTAGTGCCATAACTGATTTGTCACTTAATGTAGATTAGATGACTGTTTACACTAATGAATTACACACACACACACACACACACACACACACACACACACACACACACA